AAATAAATAAATAAATACAGCGCATGACACTTACGCGAAAGATACATATTAAAACAAGATAAGATATACTTATCACAAGCTACATACACCCCATAAAAACTTTCCATCTTTTTAAAGTACCTACATTTCTTTTCAAAATAAAACTGTGCCTAAACAGTATTTAAAATCATTGCTTAAATCTACATTACAAATGCTCGTGGTAAAATAAAGTTCGAATATGGCAAACCCTCAAGATAGATGTCATCTTAGGGCAATACTTTGGGCTGTTAATTAAAGGGGAAAGTTAAAAAATAATTATTTAAAAACCGATTCTTTTTTACAAACTCTTTGGTTTGTAGAAAGATATTTTTCTTGCATTGCTACTCATTTTTACTTTTTTATCCCTGTATTTATGTGACCAAGTAAGCGACTTTAAAATATCTTTATACTGTTCCAGTGATAACTATAATTTCCATATTCAACATCAAAAACTTATTTGAAATGACACTGACAGGTAAAAATAAAACTAGTGTTTTCTGTGTCGTGTGGTGACGGATTAAGAATACGGAATGTCACCACCCCTATTAATCCCGTGGGTGTCGTAAGAGCCTACTAAGGGATCAAACTACGCAGGACAACAGCACTGCAAAGAGAAGGAAAACTTGACACAAACCCTATACCAACCCGCCAGCGTGGTATAGTAGGCCAAAACCTCCTTTCTAAGGAGAGGCCTATGTCCAGCAGTGGACTATTATAGGCTGTTGATGTGATGATGTGATGATGTTTTCTGTTCGAGATAATACAAGTATTCGAGTAATTTACCTAATATCTATTCCAAATGTTGCGATAACAATAAAATGTTTCAAAGAAAGCACTAAACGGTTATAAAAGTAATTCTCTAAGCGTCAAGTCAGTCTTTATTGAACATAACTTTTTATGTGAATCTGATTTAGCTCGTATCGTTCGCTTTATCTCTTCATATATTTATATCTAGATTCCAGACTGTTTCGCGTAAACAATGTTTTGTTTTTTTTTTGTTTAGAATCTAGCAATCGCTGTAATCTATGATATTTACTTATGATGTCATTATACGTATCCGGGATTCTGTTTTATATCTTTTTAAGACGATGAGTGTAGTCGAAAGTCGTCAATCAAGTTATACAAAAACTATGTACGAAAAGATTTCTAATTGAATAAAATGCGCCATGTTAGTCTAGTGCGCTTATGCCTTAGTCTCAGGGTCTCGGGACAAAGGACAAGGGGCAATGAAAGGGTAAGTCCTGGGATGTCCTGCCTGGATCGAGGAAATGCGAAATTTGTTCAATACTTCCATTCCTAAAAGGACAACAGTCTTCAAAACAGTAGAGGTACTTACTTAAACTGAATATTGTTTTTCTTTTGTGCATTTTTTTTTAAATTAGTTGTATTTAAAGTTGGTCCTATTTTTTGAACAATGTATTCCATTTCTAAAAGTAGCAAGTTATTTATTTAAGAAAAAAAAAATCCTGACTGCATAAAAATATGCTTAAAATTGAGAAGAGAGAATTTAACAGTGATTTTAGTTTTTATAATTTTCGTGTATCCATTTCATATCTCCCAAGCGAAAATCTATCAAGCCGTTTAGTTTAGACCACAGCTCTCGTCGGCGAGCGCGTTTGGCTTTGCGATTGGTGACGATCGAGTAGAAGTGAAATAAACTCACTTGGGCTCCAGAACGTGCCAAAGAAATAAACATACATACATTCGATGAACATAACTCTTCAGCAGTCCGGTAAAAGCTAGGGGATGAAGAATACAGCTTGTCAAAATTAAGGCGCAATGAAGTCAATACAACAATATAATTCGTTAATAAAACTTAATGTAGATAATATGTGTATTTCTGAAATATTTGGTGGTGTATAAATAGTTTACTACCTTTCTGGATTGCTCTAACTTCTTTTGTAGAGTTCTTAACTTACCTGTAACAAAAACATGTTTATTAACAATGGGTTCTACAACATAATTACTTTAAACCTAAACCATAATTATGATATAAATGTAAAAGTGAGTTTGTTTGTTACGCTTGCACACCTAAACTACTCAACCCATTTTAAAAATTAACCAATGGAAAGCTACATTATCAGCGAGTAACATAGGTTACCTTTTACCGCGATAACAGATATACCTACACGCGGGTGGAGCCGCGGGCAAAAGCTTCTTAAATGTATTTTGCAAATAGTACACAGAAACACCCAGATCTACATAAATATATGTATAGTTTCTATACAAATACACAACAACAATAATAATAATTATATTATTATGAAAAAAACTGGTAAATGAAATTTTGTGTTAGATAATATATGAATATTAATAACAATTGAAACAAAATTTTTGAGAGGCCTGAAAACCACATCCGTGGTCCCTGGCGCTACCATAGAACCCACTGATCGACCACTGTCAAATTATTTTGGTAAATACTTCCAACAAGTAATAATGACATCAAAATGAACTATTGACACAGTACCTATGTGTAACTATTAATTGAATATGATAAAGCCAAACCCGGCCACAATACGTGAACGCAGTCACGACACAACGGGGACATTTAGTATACTAGTATACAATAGATACTAATTACCTTTGAACTGAGGCAAAATTCTTGTCGCCCTTATGTTAAGAACTAAGTATTAGTAGCGATAAATACTTTTATTAGCTTCACTTTAAACTATGTAACAAATATTCAAAGTCAATTTTGACCTACTTGTAATTGTATATGTAGGTATAAGAAACACCCCAAATAAATTGTTTTTATAAGTTACTAGCGGCCCGCCGTTATTGCAGTAAAAAGGAGCCTATTTCCTTCCTCAAGAATCAAATTATCTCCATACCAAATTTTAGCTAAAGCGGTTCAGCGGTTATTGATTCCCCATACAAACTTCCTCTCCCTTTTTCACCCCCTTAAAGGGTCATTCCTGGGATAGAAACAATCCTATGTCCTTTCCCGGGACTCAAACTATCTCTACACCAAACAGGAAGGTAATAGTTTGGATTAAGGAGTCCAAAAATCCGAATGATTTTGTGATAATTCTTGACTCTATGTGGTGCTGGTCTTTCATTTTCGGCGGATCAATATAGCACGGTTCTATCCAATTTAGTTTCTAAAAACTAAACAGTATAACATTATTTACAGAAATAAAACAATTCGAATATTGATGTGCATAAGTAATCCTTGTCTTATCGGCTTCACGTCTGGGAATGTTCACCTTTCGCTACTGCAATCTCTAAATTAAACTAAGCATTTTAAAAAGCGATTCGTCTACAAACGTGCGGTTTTCATTCGTTAGAAAATATACGTGTTTATTGTATATGTTACGTGTGGTGACGGATTAAGAATACAGTGTCACCACCCCAATTCATCCCGTGGGTGTAAGAGCCGACTAAGGGAGCAAACTACGCAGGACAACAGCACTGCAGAGAGCCAGCGTGGCCAGCGTGGTGTAGTAGGCCAAAACCTCCTGTCTTAGGAGAGGCCCTATGTCCAGCAGTGGACTAGTAAAGGCTGTTGATGATTGTATATGTTAAATTATTTGCCCTGACTGATTCATACTCAGACCGTTAAGGCTTCAAAATTGAAATTTTGGCAGCTCTTGCTTTTTTGTTGTAATCATCCTCTAAAAAGGATTATTGAAAATTTCGGGTTAAAAATAAATAAATAAACGATTGAATTCAAGTTCGTCACTTTCAAAGTTACAAAAACAATTTACTAAAGTGATGACACGATTGCATGCCAATATCGGTTCCGTTGGATTTCAAAATGGCGATCAAATCGAATTAAAACGTGAGATTATCATTTTAAATTTAAGAATCGAAATTCGTAAGCGCGAATATAGGGAACCGAACATTTTGGTACCCTAAACTACGATTCGGTCTGACGACAAAATAAAGCTTTGCAAGTGCAATGTTGAAATAGAATAAATAAAAAAAAACCTTATCAGAACGTCATTGAGCAGGAACTATCCGTATCTATAGTCGTCAGACATCCTGATTGACGAACATTACATGTAGTGCGTGGGTGCATTATGCATTATACGTACTTTCAAACTGACAACCAGAGTGGCTAATACAAGATTCTTTTTGTACACAGTTGTGTTGACGCCAATTACTTATCTATACTAATATTATAAAGCTGAAGAGTTTGTTTGTTTGTTTGAACGCGCTAATCTCAGAAACTACTGGTCTGATTTGAAAAATTCTTTCAGTGTTAGATAGCCCATTTATCGAGGAAGGCTACAGGCTATATATCATCACGCTAAGACCAATAGGAGCGGAGCACCAATGAAGAATGTTTCAAAAACGGAGAAAATTTATTACTATTGAGAGACGCAGACGAAGTTGCGCGGGTCAGCTAGTGATATAATAAAAACAACAAATAAATCGCCAGTAGCAAAGTTCACGTACGAAATTTTCCTAATAGTTACTATCAAAATATTTTTAATGGACGACTTTACAAAATAAAATTTACTCCGCAACAATTTAAGAAATAATAAAACGAAATTAACAGTATCATAAATTATTATGAACTTAAAAATACTTCTGCAACATATTAGATCTAGATTATAACCAGATGACTCAGGTCTAGACATAATTTTTCGATGAAAGCGCCCGATAATTAAAAATTCACCAAGAAATTTATTTTCTACCAACAGGTGATGGAAAGCGATTAATTGTATACGTAATAAAAATTCGCATAATACAAGCTTCATTCTCATTTAATTGAACTTCTGTTTTGTGGAATGAGAATGGAGCTTCTACTTTACTTCATCTACTTAATTATTTGCAGTGTACTGGTTCTCCACTCCACTCCAAATAATACCAGACAAGAACAAGTTCGAGAAACAGGAATGCGGTCTTGAGGTTTACACTCTTATTTTTTTATATAACCTAATGAACAGGCGGACTTAATGCCCAGGGCATTCTCTGCCAGTTGACCTTGTGTAAGAGAAAACAGAGAATTTGACTTTATTTTCTCTTCAGCCCCTCTATTCACTCCTAACATCGCCTTTATTTCCTAACCTTAAATAGAAAATACAATTGAAAGAGAAAGATTCCTAAAATCTTGCAAAAGTTCAAGCTGATCACATTCCCTATTTCGACACGGTCTTGATCTGCTCAAGCTATTTATACTCTCCAATCTCCACTCCTTATATCGCCTATACTCCCCAATCGTAAATGGGAAATACAAATGAAAGAAAAAGATTCCTAAAATCTTTTAATTTTCCAAAAGTATAAGTAGATAACATTCCCTATTTCGTCAGTATTACCAAAACATGGTTAGCAAAAAGTGGGTGTCTAAAACGACCTGCTGCCGACCTCTTCGGGGTAACAGGCCTAAGTATGATTGATATATGATTTGCCTGAAAATATAGTGTCACAATTTGACATGGACAATTCCCTTTTTCTACCTCTAATATTTCTATAGACTACAACTTACCTAATAACCATATCCAGTACATCTTCTTTCTCAAACACTTTGCAGTACAGGTGCAGCACTTTCAGGCAGGTGTACTGGAGGCCCGTCCAGTTGACTTCCGCGGATTTGAGGGCCTCACTCCAAGGGCAGTTCTCGTGACGCGACAGGCACAACATGCCGTCCAACGTGGTCTCCGTAGGAGGCATTTAAGTGATATTCTTTGGTACCACTTTGGTATAGTTTTTAGACAGTGTCATCGGCTGAAGAATGACGGCAAGAAATATAAGTGACGAAGTGTTTATGTTAAGAGATTTCATTGGCAACTAAATGGGATACGACGAAATAAAATTTCAACTCACTGCTATTAAATTAGGCAAAATATTTGGCGTAGCAAAACGAGGTTGTCTTGTTACTTTTTTTAGCTTAACATGATTCGATTTTCACATATCCATTTTTTTGGTATAGAGGGCGAACGCAAAGAGGCCACCTGGTGGCAAGTGACTGCCGTCGCCCCTGGACACTTTTAATTTAATAGTCACAAGTGCCTTTACGTCCTTCGAGCTCCTGCTTAGTTTTGTCTCAGTTTATGTTAATATGCGTGACCATAAAAGAATAGTAGATGCTCAAGAATTAATGGCGTATTGTAATAAGACTTGCACTGCGTGTGATTTTTAAAATAATCGCTTTATTAATATCACAAATATTTAAGGTTTCATTTCGTTATAAGAAAAAAAAATTGGATCACCAACAAATGATACACATTTCTGTATAAGTACAAAAATACAAATATATGCCTTGTGCTCATCCAATAAGTAATATTTGTACCATTATAAATTAAAAAAAAAAAGACAAGACAAATACATGTAATATAAATTAAAAAATGTAAAAGATGCTACGGACACAGCGTTATATTTATTCCCGCGCGGATAATTGAGGATATGGTTAACCGTTACATCGTTACTATGAAATCATATCGTAATGACCAAAAAAATCTGACCACTAAGAATCTGACTCAAAAAACAATCAAAAACAGTCGGGTCAATATCTGTTACTGATGCCAACAATATTTTGACCTTTCATATGGCAAAACAGAGGATACACTAAAGAGTTGCCAATGTAATGACACTATTAACTATTCTAAAACCAGATTTTAATGGATAACAAACCGTAGTGTTTATCTAATAAAAGTGTTTCACTAGGCAAATACTTCTTGCAATATCGGGTTGCATCTTTGGTGTTCCAAATGAAAATGTTATGACTTAAGATACAAAAACAAAGACATTCTTAAGAGATTCCGTGTTCAAATTTACAAAAACCCTATCAGAATCACAGTTGTTTTGTTCCGTTTTCGTTGTTTTGTTCAGATATTTGCAATTTAAAACTACTGCTACAGAACTGATACCTCGCATAGTTTTATTAGCATGTAACATTGTTCCATTCGCTTTCCTGCAATGTGTGGAAATGACGTTGTGAAAAGGGACGGAAATGTGTAACAGGAAGTTGGGGAAACGCGCTCTATTTAAGACATGTTGCTCGCATGAAATGGAATGATTTGTCTATTTGAGTTGAGTGAATATTATTGAACTTTTAGAATGAAACAGAGTGTTCAAAATATTCTGCAATATTACCTATTGTTGTTAGTTGCATGTCAGATTATTTGTTTTATCTTACATATTTTTGTCCGTGTGGTGACGGATTAAGAATACGGTGTGTCACCACTCCTATTCATCCCGTGGGTGTCGTAAGAGCCGACTAAGAGAGCAAACTACGCAGGACAACAGCGAACAGACAGAGAAGGAAAACTTGACACAAACCCTATACCAACCCGTCTGCCCTTTTTTTTTTTCGTGCGGAAATCCCCTCGGATACCATCGGTGGTATGTCGGACTCGAACCGACTAAAACCGCACGCCGTCTCGGGTACTAATAGCCGGGGAACCAGGTATACCCTAGAAAGGAAGTCCCTGGTACCCCGACATACCTCGGGTCATCTACAGACGAGTAGACGACCCCCCCCCGTGTGGGAACCCCATGTTCCCTGTGCTCCCTGGAAGCGAGCGCGCTTTGCAACGCGCTTGCCGCCACCCCGGCCTGCTTCTGCTAGGGTGACAGATGGCCTCACCTGTCACCCCCAGGCCTGCGAACCCGTCTGCCCTGCGTGGTATAGTAGGCCTAAGCCTCCTTTCTCAGGAGAGGCCTATGTCCAGCGTAATGAAGTAACAAGCATTAGAACTTTCGACGAACTTTCGCTTTTATAATATTAGTGTGATTAAGATTTATATCAGGTTAATCATATTCCTATATTTTTTTATCTACGATATTTAAAAAGTAAAGTGAGAGTACAAATTAAATTCATTAACATGATGTACTAGAAGTTGAAATTTACATAAAATTATGTAAAAATATTGTGTTACCTTAAACAGAATAGAGAGTACATTGACTTAGAATTCCGTTACTTTAATAGCTGCATTCTTAATAATAAACCGTTTTATCAGCACAGCAATTAAGAGGCAACTCACACAACCTGGTATACCTAATTCATTGCCTGATTTAGAACCCTAAGGTTCAGTGAAGTGAGAAGTTTCAGATATAACCCTTTCCTACATAATGTTGTGTAACAAATATATGGTAAAATCTATACTAACATTATAAAGCTGAAGAGTTCGTTTGTTTGAACGCGCTAATCTCAGGAACAAATGGTAAGAATTAAAATAATATGTTAGAGGAAGGCTATATAAGGGCAAGTCCGGCCGCATATGGAATACTGTTCTCATCTCTATGCACACACTATGGGGGAGGGGCGATTGACAGGTGAGGCCATCTGTTACCCTTTCAGAAACCCTTTCTTCCAGAAAAAAAATAACATCACGCTACGACCTATGGGAGCAGAGAATAGATGAAAATTGTTGCAAAAATGGGGAACTTTTATTCCTTTTCATAGATGCAGACGAAGTTTAAATATATAACCAGGTTATACAGAACTTGTAATTATTATTGAGAAAACTAAGAAAACAAAATGGCTGTCGTCGGCAGTAAAGTTAATGTATTGGAACATACATATACACTTATCTTACTTATCTAATACATTTAAAACAATAAGAGACTTCTTTTTGTTTTAATTAATTAATTCTAATTCTAATATTAAAAAGACAACTCCCGCACTAAACATATATCCTGTGTCGCGGGGACTTTACAAACATTCATGAAACGGACACAAAAAAACCCAAACTCAGATTGAACTTCATATTCAATTTTTGATTAAAGGCTGTACTGTATCTGGAGGGCAAGCTGTGTGTTGTCGGTTTCAAAGTGACAGCTGTCATGTCAAACGTCAATAATCATGGCACTCCAATTCACTACGGCATTCACGCCTTGGCTAATAAACAAAAAGGACACGCGACTTATAAGTCGTACAATTTAATACACCTTATAATTGTTGAACTTTTGTTACATTTTAAATGAATAAATTACTGTACTAATCATTTTTACGACCCGAAAAAGGTCACAACTATTTTTATTTTATTACTTAATATTTTTTCTATGAAAAACCTTTAATGAAAGAAAAGATATCATTTTTATAAATTTGGTGCAAAAAAATAACATTCGTTTGTTTATAATTAAAAATCTCTCGAAGCACTTTACCGACTGTTTTGAAATTTATGTAATGTTACCTTCAAATACACACATGATTTGATTGAATCAATTGATTTGATTGAATTATTCAGGAAAAGTTAGAAAGGGTAAAAGTTAGTTGTTAATCAATTTCAACGTTGTCGTTACATTTATTTCAGAGTGACAGCTCTGTTATGTCAAAAATCAGTGTCATTCAGACATTTACGCCCATTAACCTACAAAATACTTAACTTTTATATTCGTAAATAATATATTATACCCACACGGCAGGTCAGGGCACAATTATAAATGTTTCAATAAATGTAAATGATTTATAGTCTGCATGTAATCAATAACGCCGTTTAACTGATCAGCATTATAACAAGTAGTAGTAGCCCACTTACATATCAATCAGCGCGGAAAGATAGATTCTAGTGCATAGAAACGCGTCTTTAACGCAAATTTTAATGTAAATATTTTAGCTAAAAATACAAAAATATTTTTTTATTTATTCTAGCGCTAGGTTTCCGTTATTTAGAAGGTTAAATAAATTAGTGTCCATGATGTAATACCAGTCGTAATACGTCACACAGAGATTTTATTTCAGAAAATAATGTTTTTAGAACTTGTTTTACACAGAAAAAATAATTAATAAGACTATTTTTAGTTTTTTTTTTCAAAGATAATACATGAAAAATATATCCAACAGCTAGATCCAATAAGAAATTTGATCATACTTTTCTGCTTATCTTTTTGTAGTTCTTAGTTAGTAGTATGTACATATACCTATGTATTGATATTAGTCCTTAGAGTGCAAAGGTTCTAAGTCCAATTGTTATTGGCGTTCCCAGGCCACCTTTTCACACGTTTATTAAACAAGCGAATCGAACAAATAAAGGATGCACTACATAACAAGGAAAGATTCGGAGACTTCGGAGCTGCGACCTCTTTGCGTCGGAAGTTCTAATTTAAACAATTCGCTGTTTGACAGCCATTGTCTCCACGTACAGAATATTATTAGTGTTACACGTTTAACGTACGCGTAATTTGAATTTCAAAATACATAGTACTACAATTTAATTTTGTTTTTGTCTATGGATCGAAAAGAAAATTCGAGCACCATAGTTACAGAAAAAAAATCATTTCATATTATCAAGTGAAAATATGGATGCGAGAAGCCCAAAATCGATCTAAGTGGCGTGCAATGGGAGAGGCCTATGTCCAGCTGACTGCGATAGGCTGATGATGATGGTGAAGTGAAAATAACCATGATAGTTAGAATCAATACATAAATAAAAACATTTTAAAAGGAACGTTTTCCAAATAGAGAAATTCGTACTGGGTAGTATCACACTGATTGTACAGATCAACACTGATTTAAGATGTCGCATTTAATAGTAAAGCAATTCTAAATTATACTCGCTCTCTTGCCTGCGGCTCCAACCGCGTGTTTATTGGTTATTGCGGTAGACAGTAGCCTATGTTACCCGCTGATAATGTAGCTTTCCATTGGTGAAATAATTTTTTTAATCGGTTTAGTGGTTTAGGCGTGACAGCGTAACAAATAAATTCACTGTCACATTTATAATATAATG